GAGCTATGTCCCATAAAATTTCTAAATCTAAATTTCCCATTTTAGAAATAGTCACAGTTTCATTCCTGTCTACTTGCAGAATATATCAGGAGACTCCGCTATTGTGACTACCTGGGGAAATACTTTTGTGACTGCTGCCACAGCTATGCCCAGTCTTGTATTCCTGCCCGAATACTTTCAAAATGGGACTTCAAAAAATACTATGTATGCAACTTCTCCAAGCACCTACTGGACAGCATATGGCAGCACCCAATTTTCAATGTGTTATGTATTAACAAAACGCTCTACACAAAAAGTAAAGAAATGGACAGGGTGAGGGTAAGTGTGGCCTTTTTTTGTTAGGAATTTATGGATCTGAGACTTTTGGGAAAAACTCCTTGGGGCAGGATGTCCTTTGCTCTGTGTGTATGTTTGAAGGAGGAAAGCTGGTTTCTCTTGCTCGTCCCATCACCACTTTGGGGACTTGTTCTCTTTAACCTTAGATGAAGATTATGCCAGAGGTCTTGTCTTTGAGAAGTGTCTCCTTACTGGTTTGCAGTTTTAGTTCATGGAGGAGAGTTGGGCTCCAGCAGTAAATATTTACCTCTACCTAGTTTTAGGCTGTTACAAAGTTCTAAAAGTTTTGAATGACTCCTTAATTTTGTGGGCTACGGGAGAAAACACCTTTGGCTCATCTAAGAGCTGTGTCTCCTACAGCTTGAGGAAGGGTGTTCTGCTGAATATTACAAGTAGCCATGTGTTCCCTTCTTGGCTGAGGAGACACTTCCCTGTTCTTACACAGGTTTGGGTACAGCATCTTGGTGTGCAGACATGGAGCCATTTGTAGCATTAGGACTTGCTCACTTGTCAGGAAATAAAAACATCCTTTGCGTGCCTTGGTCTTCCGTGCATTAGAAAATCCAGTTGTTTAATTCTATGCTAAGTGTGAAGTTCCTGTTTTTAGGTATGGTTTGACGTAGTTGCCAGGGTTGCTGACTCAAGTAGTCGTGTTTCTCATTTATGAATATATAAATGCAATTGCTTTTAATTTAAAAATTGTATGTTTTTTCCCCTTCATCTTTCAGGAGGCCCAAGAACAGCTTTTTCATTTGAAAAAGCTTTTGAAAACTTGCAGGTTTGGTGAAAGGTACGGACCATGATTGTACTTGAAAAATAACTTAGTAAAATGTACATGAGGTGCTTATAGAGCCTTCTTCTCTAGCGAGATTAGAGTCCAGTTTTAAATAAGTTAATGTGATCATTAGAGAAAATTCTGATAACAAAATTGCCTTCTATTGCACTGCAGATATTAAGTGAATTACAGGTTTTATGTAGTAGCTTTCTTTTTCTTGTGGCCAAAGACATATGAGTTTAAATGTTGAATTATTTTAGTTTGGTGTATTTTTTTTTCCTGCTCCATCTCTCTTAAGTCCTCATTCATTCTTAAAAGGTCAAAGCTACTTATCTTTCTGAGAATATTTATCTTTAAAAAAAAATAGATTTTTTTTTAAGTTAACAAATGTGTTCCTCGAGGGTTTAAAGATTTCTTCAGGACTTTGTCATAATGCTAAATTCAGTTTATTCTATAAGCATATTCAAATGAAAGTAGTAACCAAAAGTGATAAAAAAAAAAACCAAAAAAACCAAAACATAACCTTGCTTGTTGCTGCAAGTGAAAGATTTGTGGTGTTCACCTTCCCAAACTATGAGCTTAACTAATATGTAGACATGTGAATAATAAGACCTTCACTGCAGAGCTGCTGACCTTTTTAAAAACAGACTTAAGGAAAATAAGCTTTATAAGTAGGTTCTGTTCTCTCTTTGGCATAAACCTCTTTTATTAATCAATTATGTGTTGGTCACCAAAATTAAGAAGAAATGTATTTTTATCTCTCTCTTCTGCTCAACCACCAGGGATTCCATTATAGAAATAAGCATGAGAATCCTCACTCTACCTGTATCTACATCAGTGATATTTTAAAAGCAGGAGCTGTGTTTTCAATGTTCACGCACTCAGTACAAGCACAGTTTCACCCAGTAGTGATCTACGTCAGATAAAACTCATCAGTGTTCTCTTTGCAAAAGAAAATAAATAAGCCTAGCTTATTATATTATGAGATATTATTATATATGGGATTTTACCTACTGTTCCTGAGGTAGGAGAGAACCCTTTACAGGTTAATTTAAGAATTGCTGGGACAACTGTGTGTGGCAACTCCAGTGCCTGAGGAATGCACATTTAAAGCAGACAGTTTATTCTAAATCCCAAACCCCAGTTTTTGTTGAAGTGATCTCAAATTGGGAGGGGAAGTAGGATTTAGCATGAACTTGCCTTGTATAATCCCTGTGTGACTAGAGAACTGAAAGAGGCTTATTCTTGAAATATACTTGCAAAACAACTTTTTGTACCTTGAATTGGATTCCATTTCTCTTTGCAGTGCACTGAAAGAATATGAACAGGTCCCCAGCCATCTGACAGAGGAGCTGCATCTCTTCTCACTGGATGATCTAGTGAAGATCAAACGAGGACAGTTACTGCCCCTTCTTAAAGATATTCTGAAGAGCTCTATCTCCCATGTGGATGGCTGTGAGGTAAAGAAAAGCTAGGGCTTTACATGTCCTTGCAGCTGCTAGTATGAGGAATATCCCTGCTGCCATTCCCAAATAATTTTTCTTAGATCTAAATTCAACCCTTTTGCTGTTTTTGTAGCTCTGTCAAGCGAAGGGGTTTATCTGTGAGTTCTGTCAGAGTGCAGACCTGCTCTTTCCATATCAGACTGCCAAATGTAAAAGGTGTACAGGTATGTTCCAGAGTGAATGAATTTTCTTTCTTCCTTGATGGAATTTTGGTGTATAAAACCGTTTGGACTTATTTTAAACTTTGAGAACTAGCTTCACTGAAAGCATGTATATTTGAAAACCTGGATGTGCATTTGGAAACCATGGACAGCATGTATCTTTGAAAACCAGCCTCTGGCAGCTGTTCTGCATCAGTGAAGCAAAATCAGGGATTTGCCTGAGCACGATTATGCTCACAGGGGTAGGCTATTATTTTAGGTCTAGGCATGAGAGAGAGCTGTTTTATCAGATCTTGCCGGCATTCATTGTAAATTATTGCAGTGGTGGTTGTTGTCCTGGCCTTGCACTGCTTCTGTTTACTTTTGTACTTGTATGTTCTTGATAGAACATAATTCAAGGAACACAGCTATTGATTAATTTTATTTTTTTTTCCTAAATGCTATTCTCTATGTATAAACAGAGTGCAAAACATGCTTTCACAAAGCATGCTTCAGATCTGGAGGCTGCCCCAGATGTCTGCGGATCTCAGCTCGGAGGACACTTTCAGAAACTCCATCACTGGTACTTCAGTGAAACTGGATTCCTCTGACTGCTAACTTCAGAAGATGCTCAAAGGCAAATCTTCAAATGCATGACTAAAAACTAAATAATGTTGTTTTAGACATTACTAGTTTTAATGCATGTCTCATTTATGGGGGGGGTGGTAAAAAAAAAAAAAAAAAGGCTAAACGAAAACCAAACAACTTTAATATCCTCCTTGAAACCTCACCCTAAATGAATTCCATCCTAACTGGTGACAGAAAGACTGGATGTTAATTCTATGGGCAGCTTTTTGTTGCTATGTTTTGTCTTTGTATGTAAGATTTTTAATATTATATTTTTTCATAGAAAAATGGTTCATCTCTGTAATTCTGCAGATAATGTGTAGATAGTAAATGAGCATTCGAAATTATCTGTGTCAGATTTTGGAAATGTGGAAAAAGTGGTAATGTACAAAATCATTCCCTGGAAAGCTCTACAATAAATAGAAAAAGCTTATCTACAAATTTTAGGCAGATGCTGATCTGAAATCGTTAAGGCAAATGCTTAATGTGAACCAGTGGACTTTAAGCTTCTTTTATCTATGCAACAGCTTGTGGTGGGTTGACCTTAGCCTGCTTCTAGGTGTTCACTCAGCTGCTCTCTCACTCCCATTCCTCCAGAGGACAGAGGAAGAAAACAAGATGGAAGAGCTCACAGGTCAAGATACAGACAGGGGTATCACTTACCAACTACTGTCACGGGTGAAAGAGACTTGAATTGGGGAAAATTAAATTTATTGCCAATTAGAAATTGAGTAGGGTGGTGACAAGCAAAGATTAGAACAGTAATTTTCCCCTACCTCACCCACCCGATCTTCCAGGTGCAACTTCTCTTCTTCATTCTTGACTCTTCTACCTTATGCTATGTCCCAAGTGGTGCAGGGGAATGGGGAATTGAAGTTGCTGTCAGTCCTGTAACTGCTGCTTTCTGCTGCCCCTTCCTCCTTACTTACACTGTTCACCTGCTCCGATGTGGGTCTTTCCCATGGACTGCAGTCTTTTAGGATAAAGCTGCTCCTGCGTGGGCTGTCCAGGAAGAGGTAGTTCCTGCAGGAAGTATCTGTTTGCTCCAGTGGAACCCTTTTCATTCACTGCAGGGAAATCTGTGTTCTGGTGCCTAGAGCACCTCTTCCCCCTCCTTCTTTACTGACCTTGGTGTTTGTACTGCTGTTTCTCACGCCCTTTCTTAAATACACTTTCATAGAGGTAGCACCATCTTGGCGGAGGTGCTTGGCTGTGTTCTGCGTTGGGTCCATCAGAGCTGGCTAGAAGGAGTTGTGTCTGGCATGGAGCAGTCCTGGCTTCCTCGCACAGAAGCCACCATGCAGTCCCCCACTGCCACCAGCTTGCCAGCTACACCCAGTACTCTGCTCTAGAAGTTTCTTTCCAGAGCACTTATAAATGTGATGAGAGGCAGTGAGTAATGAGGAGAGAGCTCCTGTTTAAATCCACCCTCACACTTGCACAGCCTAAAGGGGAAGTGCTGGAAATTGAAAGCAGGTTGCTTTCCCTGCCTGGTTGGTTACTTCTAATGAAACTGGCTGAGGAAGCAGCCCTTGCCTTCAGAAAAGTAGAGTAGCTGCTTGAACCTGTAAAACCATTTTTCTCTTCGTGCTGTGAAGTACCAATGAACAGAGAAACCCCAGAACTTGAAAGCACATACCAAAGTTCTGATCTCTCCAATGGAGTGCTTTTAGTACTTTGAATTTGTTGCTGTTGTTTTTGTGCTTCTTCTTCTCACCTACTTGTTCCACCTTTTAGCAAGGAAAGAATCTGTTACCTGGGACTTTGTAAGTTTGCCTCCACATTAATGGTAATGATACTGCTAAACACACTAACACTTCCATTAAGCAATTTTTCCTGTGGCCAAAAGCAGCTTACCTACTTACTGGTCTGAAGCAAGATTAGCATCTCTTACTCAAGATTACTAGTGCAGAGGTAAGAAAGAGCTTGCTTATGCAGCTGACTGTATTTAATGTTACACAAGAGTAAATTCTCATGTAGTTTGGGTGCACGGTTAACTGAATCACATGAAAGGCCTTGCTGCAGGGATTTTGTTCTTATGAAGGAGTTGACTTGAATGATCCTTCCGTGGGATAACCTGCAGGGCAACTGAATACATCTTTTTCACTATTCATTAGTTCAGAAGAGCTGATCTGGTTTCTGGCTGTGCTTTTCATGAATGTTCAAGTCTTAATGAGCAGTAGCAGTATGCAGGAGGGGGAGCGTCAGAGCGTGAGTTTCATGCACCAAGTGTTGATACTTTATATCTGCTCAGTTCAGTCCAGGTCTCCGTAGAGCCTGTACAGCATATCCAGACTAATTATTGCTACATACCACAACAGAGATTGCAGCAAGAGGAGATCCTCAGTGAGTTTGTGTAGCTGACAGAAAGTGGAAGGCCTAAGAGTATCAGCACGCTTGTAATCCAAGTAAAACTAGTTAAAATGTTTTGCTATTGAAGCTAAAGTGAGAAGGACTAAGTTGTGAGACGCCAGCAGGTTGGTCCCAGGTTGGAAGGAACAACAGAGGCCACAATTTGCTGCATTTCAGGGGATAGTGTTCTTGACTGTTATGTCTGGAGGAGGGTCACAGTGAACTCCCATTCTTCTGTTCTGGTGTCAGCACAAGATACTACAGGAACATGCTGAGGCTATTTGCCCTGAATATCTTCTCTGTTGAAAAGCAAAGCTTGGGTGACTAAACCTGTAGCCACAAGGTGCTCTCAGTGTTGCTGAGGTGAGAGTTTCTCAACAGCCTCCATCCTAGGATAGCAGAAAGCATAATAACTGAAAGCATGCATGTATCTTTCTGTATTTGGTGATAAAGTGGCTTGGACAGAAAGGGATGACTTCTGTGCTACAAACCCTCTAAATATCTTTAGATGTTGCCAAGTTCTTTGAATTAAGTTTCAAGACTCACTAAGCTGCTTAGATCAATACTGTGCTCCTTCTGAGCATATCTCTATGGTCATTTCTGAGGCTAAGCCAGATGATAAGGCAGATCCAAGGCAAGATTTTTTTTTTTTTCAGAAAGAAAGGCTATATGACTACAGTGAACTTCTTTGAAGAAAGTGAAATCCTACACATGTAAGCTCTGAATTCTTTGATAGGAGCAGACATTAAAGGGTTAGGCAATCTCACCAAGGAGTTGGGGCGGTTCAGAATAAGCTGCCTGCTAGCTAGAAAGCTGAACGAGTTTCACTGGGGACAGTGACAAGACCTGACTCCTCACACTTTCTGTTTGCCTGAGCAGTGATGATCAAAGCTCATTTTGAAACTGTGGGTTTCCATGGTGCCACATGGATACAACAGGAGCACCTTTGAGGACACTCCTGGAGGAGTACTCTCAGGGGCATTAGTGACAGAGAAACCTATTCCTAGTTAACTGCCTGCCCTCACTCCACAGGCAGAATTCAGATCAAGACAGTTTTTAAGGGAACACAATACCAACATCTCACTCTTGCAGCTATCAATTTTACCTGTTTTTCCACTAATTAGTTAGTTATACTGATTTTTTGTATTTTCCCTCTTCATTTCAGTTGTTAGTTGTCTGGTGGTGGAAGTGCTTTGCTAAGACTTCATGCAGTACATTGCAGCCAGGATTTTTCATGATGCATCATGCAGCTATTATTGTAAACAACAGAATAATACCAATTGTCAGGCATAGTATGGTCTCAAAATACAGGTCTTGTTGCAACTGTAAGCAAGTATGTCAAGTATTTAAGTAGTTTTATGGGCCCATGTAATTCCAGGGATGTCTGTCACACCCACTCACTTTAAGAGAAGGAAAATATCAACATGTTTTATGAGAAATTATATGTTGTCTGCTTTTGCACACAGAGTACACAAACTCCTTCAGTAGCAGTCTTTCATCCCTTACTAGGCCTGTATTCATGGTTTTAATTTTTTAAAGGAAATTTACCCCTATTTCCCCACATTTGCTCTATGATTACTGCTTGATATAATTTTCTTTTAGGCCAGTGAGCTGAATACTCTGAAAAACACCTGATGTCTTTTCTCTAAGATACCAGTTTTATTTACATGGTTCAGCTCTCACATAATCATTGGTATCCTTTGGTCTAGTGTAATTGCTCTCCCTCTTGCTTCTGAAGAAAGCTACATGACCCTTTTGTTTTGTATGTGAAAACTCCATGTTTCATCACACACTGTGTTGTCTGTCTGACCAGACTGAAAAGTCTCCTGAAGATTGCAAAATCAGGAGGTAATTAAGGAAATATGTTCAGTAAAGGAGAAAAAGAAGAGGTAGGAAATAGATTTACAAGAAAGGCTTGGTTAGTGTCTACTTTAGTGGAGTGTAGAGAGAGCTGAGCAAGACTGACAGCAGTCAAAGAAGCTCTGCACCAAATAAATTACCCATCTTGATGAAAATATTTTACATTTGACTAGACTAAAATTAAAAATGCAGGTTAAATCTCTTACCAGTAAGTTAAACTTGCCCAGGACTGGTATCTGATACTGAGGGCAGATGGTGCAAGGTGAGCCAAGTTCAAATACTCCACTCTTTTGTTCACTGTGGTGGTCACCAAATCCAATGTGCCTCCTGTGAATAAACCCACATCCATGCTAACTCCTGATCTGTACCTGCTGTTGTGAGCCAGAATTGTGCTATGTTTAGTCTTAACAGTTAGTGTAGCTGTTCATGATTTAATTAGAAAAAAACCTCTAGGACTATCATTGGTTGCTATAACCACTTATATGCTCAGAGAATTTTACAGGTTCGTAGCTGCCAATTCCTTCCACAAAATGTTGGCAACTACCTAAATTACTTTTCCTCCCCAAATTGTTCAAAGTTGGTTATTTTTTGGGCTTTTGATGGAGTATGTCTTAAGGCAAAAAAAAAAAAGGAATTTGGTTTTTTCTTCCCCCCTCTCCCCAGTGCAGGTTTCCCCTCAGTGTATCATCTCCCATCCATTTATTTGCAACCAAATCAAACCCAGTGCCAGCCTTATCACAACTGCTCCAAGCATGGTGCTGGACAGCAGGGGGATCTGGGGGGCAAATGTGATCCCCATTTGTGCTGGATATACAGGGGAAAGAGTACCAAAGCACCCTTTGCCTGAAAAACAAGCTGATTTATACACAAGAAGTGTAAGCAGTTGAGGTTTGCCAGCCTGATTCTGGTGAGCAAAACCCAGATTCTCTGTGACATTCATGGACCTAAGTGTGAGTATCTGTGGAAATACCATGGAGCACCTGTGTAGGTGCAGGCATGGATATGAGCAGATAGTCAGGGAAATCTGACGCAAGAAAGCAGCAAGACTTAGGCACCATAGTAACCAGGTATCCGAGTATAGGGGTTATATCCATGGCATGGATTTTTGCAGTAGCAGTGCCTGTTCCATGGACCTGGGGTGGTACCTGCCTCCTGGGGGAATACAGACAAAGCCAGATACCACTTCACTGACCAGAGGTCTCCTTCTCAGGCCCAGAACTGCCCTAGTT